CGGGTTTGTATTCCGGGGACCTTTCTTGGCGCAGGAGGCCCAGGGACAGGTGTGGGACCTGACTCAGGTCTCGTCCGCTTTCATGGCCAGGCGAGCGCGCTTTTCGGCGCGAAGGTTTTCGGACATTGCGGCCTTGGGCAAAATAGGACCAGGCAAGGCCTGGCGCGCAGAAATTTTTGGCGACCGCTGAATGAGCTGCTGCATAGAAAAATTGACGGGGAGGACGAGGCGGTTGAGACGGGTGGTTCGTGGGGGTCAGAGAGCAGCGTACGCTCAGAGGACTCCTTCTGGGTTCTCACTGGTGCCAGCACAGACTCAGTGAGCATGAGCCTGAGCTGGCGTCAGAATGCCTGATTTGTGGAGAGCGAGGCACCTTGTTTCATCGCCATTTTCAGTGCCGGGCCAGGGCGGCCTGGCGCCGAGACAACCTTCCCGTGTGCGTGCAGCGTGCAGCCAGCAGAGTGTCAACCTGCAGTATCGAGCTGCAAGAGCGTTTTTCCCGAGGTATTTGTCCTGGCCCGTGCCAGCTTCTGGCCAGGAAACCCTGGGACCCGTCCACGGAGTTTCGCGTTGAGGGCGGCCTGGCAGGGCCGCTCATGCTTTCCGAGGGACATGTTTTCTGTGATGGTTCAGGCCGAGACGGACTGTTCCCGTCCTTGCGTGTTGCTGGATGGGGAGCTACCGTCTTCGATGAGTCACGCAGGTGCATAGCGGAGTGGTATGGTTCTGTGCCCCCAGCCACCTTGCCTGATCAGGTGGCGCGCGACGGCGAGGACTATAGTGTTTTCATCGTCTCAAAGCTGTGTGCAGGCGACTTCACTCTGTAGTCTGACCGCAAGGGCACGCTTGACTGTTGCAAAAACAGAGCGCGCTCGGTCTCCTCGGCTAACCCCAGGGCCCACCTCTGGCCTCAGTCTTGGGCTTCGGGAGGCCTTGAGGGGGCCAGGTTTAAGAAGGTTCCTGCTCACGCCTCGGCTCAGGATGTCAGAGACGGCCTTTTGTCAGATTTCGAACGCACTGGCAACCACGGCGCTGATAGGCTGGCCAAGTTGGGGGCCTCGCTTGCCCAGCATGATGAACGGGACACCCTCTTAGCTAAGGGCTGCCTTTTGCTGGCCCGAGAGGTGTTGCAGTTTATAACGCGTGCGGAAGTCTACTACAGTGAGCTCGGGGTCTACGACAATGTAGGTGCCCAGGGCCTGCCTTTGGTCTCCCTGGATCCCCCCTCGGATCACGACGCTCGGCTCGAGTGGGCTCGGCCCGAGGACGAGGCAGCTGCGCCCCCCCCTTGCGGTGAGGTCCCGATGGCCCCCGACCCTGCGGCTGCCGCCTCGCTGGAGAGATTCCTGGACAGGGCGCCCGAAGGCACGCAGCCGTGGAAGGAGGGGGGCCACTGCCTGCTTGAGTTTCCTGTGGAGCCAACGGAGGAGGGAGAGGACCACCCCCCCTCCTCTTTTGCTCCACCTGTGGCAGCTACGCAACTGTGGCCACAGGTTCCAGAGCCTTGCACGCTGGATGCCAGGGCTCGGCTCACTCGCTGGTCGGCCCTGGCAAAAAGAACACGTCGAGTTTTGTAAAGTTCAAGCACCCGAATCGGGCGCTGCGGCTGGGACCCCCGAGATCTCCTGGGGCCCTGGCTCGTGAGCTTTTCGGTTCTCGCTTCCTGGTCGGAGGTTGGGGGTCCCAGCCGACGAGTAGGGCTTCGAGGGCCCAGCAGTTTTCGGGAGCCGCCTCTCTCTGCATGGCTGACTGTCTCCAGGCCTTCGGGCTCAATGAGGCGGAGGCCCGTGAGCTTGGAAGGGAGTTGCGTGTCCGACCTGCTGTGGTCGAGCTCGACGATGATTTTACCTAAGGGGGCCCTGTCGCTGGCCCACGGTGCGCTGCCTGTCCGAGCCATGACGATGGTGATGATGCTGATGCTGATGCTGATGCTGATGCTGATGATGATGACGATGACGACGACGACGACGACGACGACGACGACGACGACGACGACGATGATGATGATGATGATGATGATGATGATGATGATGATGATGATGATGATGATGATGATGATGAGGATGATGATGATGATGATGATGATGATGATGTGATGATGGTGATGATGATGATCATGCTACTGCTGGTGATGATGGGAATGTGAGTGAGTGGCCGGGCAGGTGGGTGAGTGAGTGGGTGAGTGCAGGAGTGAGTGATGATGGTGAGTGTGTGTGTGGGGGTGAGTGAATGGGTGAGTGAGTGAGTGTGTGTGTGTGGGTGAATGTGTGAGTGTGTGAGTTCGTGTGAGAGTGGGTGTTCTCTTGTTCCTGCGCGGGGTGTCTAGAGAGAACAAGAAACCCACTTTGGATGTGGGAAATAATTTCGACTGAAAAAATCGGCAATCGTCAACCGTTTTTACCGTTCAATTTTCCTCATGTAGAGTAGCATGCCCGACTTGACCCTGGCTCTGCAGGATCCTACAGGATCCCGCGCTCTGGCGGGCCCCCGTTCGGAATGGACCCCCGTCTCTTATTTGGACGCCCAAAATGGGAACGGAGAAAATGGGTACAATGCCCAACAACAAATGCTGTCCCAAACCGACAGCGGCCGCTGTTGGACAGGCGGCTTTCTGCCTTCAAAGAACAACGTTCGCGGCGGCGCGAACAGCAAGTCCTGTTCACACTGAACAGGAACTGCTGTCGGGCATCGTACCCATTCTTTCCGTACCAATCTCGATCGTCCTGATCTGGCGGGCCCCCGTTCGGAATGGACCCCCGTCTCTGGTACAACGTCGGGGCGGGCGCTCGCACGCGCCGGGGCGCGGCTCCTTCCAGAACGAAGCCAGCCTGGAGGCCGCAGAGGCACCCTAGGCCCGGAAAGAGCCATCAGACCAAGCAAAAAGACACTTTCATGTTTGTACCTGCGCGAAGGCTGCCCTGTGCCCTGTGGCGGGGAGAGGGGACAAGGATGAGGATGCGGAGGAGGAGGAGGAGGAGGAGGAGGAGGAGGAAGATGAGGTAGGGGGTGGAGGGGGAGAGGAGGAGGGGGAGGGGGGATGGTGGGAGGGGGACGGGTAGCGGGGAGGGAGGAGTGGGTGCTTAGCCGGTAGGTAGGAGGAGGCCCTGAAAGAGCTACCAGAACCAGCAAAAAAGACACTTTGATATCTTTACTGGCGCGAAGGCTGCCCTCAATTCCCGAATCAGAGATTGCCTCTGTAGGGGCCCTAGCGGATAAGGTTAGGTGAGGCGTGTCGGGAACTTTCCCAGGTGCCCCGAGGCACGGAAGCCTGGGTGCCCAGCTGCCCGGGTGCCTTATAGCCCTATGGCCCTGTAGCCCTATAGCCCTACAGCCATATAGCCCCGTAGCCCAATAACCCTATAGCCTTATAGCCAAATAGCCCATTAGCCCTGTAGCCTTATAACACAACAGCCCTGTAGCCCATTATGCCTACAGCCGTATAGCCCTATAGCCCTATACCCCTATAGCCCCATACCCGAATCGCCCTACAGCCCCATAGCCCTGTAGCCCTATAGCCGTATAGCCCTATATCCCAATCGCCCTATAGCCCTAGCCCTATAGACAGATAGCCCTGTAGCCCTATAGCTCTCTATGCCTATAGCCCTATTGCCCGATAGCCCTACAGCCCAATAGCCGTATAGCCCTGCACAAATTCTGATTCGTTTGTTTCCGATATCATAGTTTTAACTGTGCGAAGGCTGCCCTGCGGCAGGGAGAGGGGACCATGAGGAGGATGAAGAGGGGGAGGAAGAGGAGGAGGAGGAGGAGGAGGAGGAGGAGGAGGAAGAGGAGGAGGAGGAGGAGATGAGGGAGGGAGGAGGAGTAGGAAGGAGGGAGGAGGGGGGAAGGGGAGGGGGGGGGAGGGGGGGGAGGGGGAGGGGGAGGGGGGGGCAGTGAGAGGGAGGAAGAAACGAGGAAGGAGGGGGAGAGAGGGGGGGAGGGGAGGGGAGGAGGAGGAAGGTGGTGCGGGCGCGCGCGGAAACGCACGGTGCCAGCGCGGTGCCGCCAATACCAACCAATTAGAGCCCTCCGCTTTCGGGCGCCCCAGGCCTAAACAACAAAAACACGGATCTCCCCAGCGATCCGTCCGCGAATCCTCGACCTGAAGGAGACCACACACACCGCCGTGGCGCCCCTGATGGTGGCGGCGGGTGCGTGGTGGCGCCGGGCAACGTGGGACCAGTGGCGTGCGTGGGCGCCTGGCGCGTGGCGCGTGGTCGTGGTGCCGTGGCGCGTGGCGGCGGCGGGGGGCGCACCGTGGCGCGGCGCGCCCACCCTGGTCGGGCGGCGCGGTATCCGTTCGGTGCTCTCTTGCTGATTTGGGAACGGACGCCCGCAGTGGGCACCGACAAAATAAATGCAATGCCCAACAACACCAACCACTGTTCCCAAAACCGACAGAAGCCACTGTTGCGCAAGCGGCATTCTGTCTCAGGTCTCAAGTGGACAACGCCCGCGGCGGCGCGGACAGCGAGTCCTCGTCAAAGTAAACCAGAACTGCTGTTGGGCGTCGTACATATTCTTTCTGTACCCATGTCTGGGGAAACCAGAAGGCACTGATACCGCTGCCCCCCCAGACCTCTCCTGGGGCACGTTCTGACTGAAATCGCGAGGCGAAGCCAGCGGTGGCGACGAGCGCCTCCCAGGGGGCTCAGAAGGGGAAAAACGGCTCAAGTATAGCGGTAACGCACCTTTCCCAGACCACGTCGTGATTTTTTCACAACGTCGACCCCCAAAATTTGAACCCCTTCCCCGGGACCGGTTTTTCGTCCTGAATCGTTGTTTGACGGTCCTGGGGCCTGGCAAGGCCGAAAACCAAACAAAAAACAACCGTCGTGTGTTTTAAGCAACGCGGGGGGGTCCGCGTCTCTGGGCCTCCTCCTCTGAATGTCGGTCGTGCCGAGCCGCCGTCGGCGCCGCTGCCAACGGCCGGCGGCCGACGGCCGACCCCCGCCGCCGTCGGCGCGAGCGGGCGGCCGAAGGCGGCCGCGGCGGCGGGCCTTCTGGCAGGTCCTCCGGCGGGGCGTGGCCCTCGGCCAGCGCGCGCAGGTTCCTGCGGAGGCCGCGCGGCGCGCTTCCCCCCCCAGGAGGAGGAGGAGGAGGAGGAGGAGGAGCAGCAGCAGCAGGAGGAGGAGGAGCAGGAGCAGCAGGAGGAGGAGGAGGAGGAGCAAGAACGGCGGGTTGGGGCCCCGAGAGCCGACACTCCGTACTTATGTGGGTGTATATATATATACATAGAGAGAGAGAGAGAGAGAGAGAAACAAACAAACAAGAAAGACAACAAACAAACAAATGAGTAAGTGCTAACAGAAACGCACACGAGCACAACAAGCAGCCTCGGGGGGCATCGCAGGACCGCGAGACGGTCGCGTGCCAGGCTGCTATGGTCTGCACCGAATCTTGCCACAGGTGCCCAAGGGCCTCCTCGCCCCCCGCTGCGACAAACACTGGAGCGGCGGGTTCGGGGCAAAGTTCGGCATCCAGGGGCCCTCGCCGAGCCTCGGGGTCTCGGGGCCGTCAAACTACGACTCTTGACGACATGCTGGCCCTACGGAGGTGGTCCAGACCTCTGTGGCCCACGCATCGAACAAAGGTTGAGTACTTTCGTCGGCGGCGAGGCAGGGGCAGTCCGCACCGGCGTGAGGCTAATCGGGGCAACCGAAGGGTGAATTATCTGGCGTGCGAGAGGAAGGAAAGAAGACGAGGGCGGCCGCGCAAACGGAGGAGGGGAGACGCGCTCACACGTGGAAGAGTTCCGCGAAGAGCAGGCCAGAGAGGCCAGGAAAGAAGTGGGGCGGCTGGACGTCTGAGGGGGGGGCCTTTCGGGGGGCGGGCGGCGGGCGGCGGGCGGCGGCAGCGACGAGGGCGGCGGCGGCCGCCGGGCCGCGGCCGCTCCTGCGGTACCACTCCGCGGCCCGGGTGTTGTACTTCTGGGCGATGGGCATGGCGTCGGGCACTCCGTGCTTCCTGGCGCGCAACCCCCCCACCCGGCGGGCGGCTCTCGGCGGCGTTTCAGGCGACCCGGGCGGCGGCGCGACGGGCTGCGGCAGCGTCGGCGGACCTGCGGCGGCCTGGGCAGCAGCGGGGCGGGCGGCGGCGGCGCCGCCGCCGCCCAACCCACCCGTCCTCCTCCCCCTCCTCCCACCGCCCTCCTCGTCCACCCCGCTGCAAAGGGCGCTGCCAGAAGTGGCCCTGGCCCAGGGCAAGCCCCGGCTTTCCCAGGGAGGCGCAGAGGGCTCCCGCCGGCAGCGGCTCGCGGCCCCTCCTGGTCCACCCCACTCTGACTCCGCCCTGCGCCTCCGTGCTCCCCCGACCTCGCCCTCCTCCCTCCGCCCTCCCATCGGCTGCCCCTGTGCGTGGACGTACAGGGGCCAGCATGCCACGAGAAACGGCGTCGAACAAGCGAGGGCGACGACGACGGCGGCGGCGGCGTCGGCAGCGACGACGGCCGATGATATCGATTGAACACCTCCGCCTGGGCGCCAGAACCAGCTGCGAGAATGGCGTTCCCGCCAGAAGTCGGGGGGGTAATGTGAAGGTTCGCTATCCCGCACACATCGGCGTCACGAAATATTCCGCGGCCTCCTTCTCCTGCTCCTCATCCTCCGCATCCTCCTCTTCCTCCTCCTCCTCCTCCTCCTCCTCCTCCTCCCTAGGTTCGAAGACTGGTTACCAAACTTCTTGTAAATGTTTGGTCCTTTGTGGGCCTCCACAGGACTCAGGAGTCATCTGGGAACCCTCGAAGACCTCCGAAGAGGGCCTCCATAGCCTTCCCCCTGCTCTTGGGTGACCAATCAGCTGGGTACGCAGCGCGAGGCTTGTACCACGCCATCAGGGTAGCACGTCGGGGCAGCGCGTGCTTCGCCTCGCACCAAGGGCAACTTTCTGAATCTGGGCACCACGTCACGGCCCCCGATCTGCCACGGCCAGCGTCCGCCCAAGCGATATCGAAGCCAACGTCTGTCAATGAGGCGGGGAAGGGACGATAAACACAGAACGAGAGAGAAAGAGAGAGTGAGCGAGAGAGAGAGAGAGCCAGACCCCATGCGTCGTGAGTTGTTAAGCCACTGGACCCCCTTGTGGTCTCGACCCTACTTCCCCAGGACTGGCGCTTCACGCCAACTTGTCTTTTGACTGTGACGGGACCTGGAATGGGCCTCCCGGGGCCGAAAACTGCCCCAAACCTTCCAGCTCCCCTTTTCTTTCTTTCGCAGAGCCTGGGTTCTTACTAGGACGGCAGAGAGTGCTTACTGTGACTTGTTGCACTGCCCGAAACGCCTCTTCCAAGGTGAGTGATTCGGCGGTAAATGAAGATACGCTTTCGAAGCAGAATGTGCCGCCCATGCTCGCGGGCGTGGTCTGGGCAACACTCCCGCGCGTGCAAACCGCATCGTGCTTCCTGTCGCGACCCGAGGGGGTGTGCGGAGGATGGGAGGGGAGGAAGGAGGGGAGGAGAGAGAGGGAGAGAGAGGGAGAGAGAGGGAGAGAGAGGGAGAGCGCGGGAGAGAGCGATAGAGAGAGAGAGAGACAGCTCGAGACAGAAAGAGAGAAAGAGAGAGAGAGAGAGAAAACAAACCAACAGAAACAAGCAAGCACAAATACAACGAAGTGTGCACGGAGGCGCCGGAGAACGCCCCGCCGCCGCGCCTGAAGTGCGCACGGAGGCGCCGGTTGCCGCCCAGCTCCATGAGCCGAAGCTGCAGCGGCTTCCACGAGTCCATCGTGGTCGACCGCACGAAGCTGACGTGCACGCCTGCGGGGCAGGGTGGGTCAGCGCCGGATCGGGACCTCGGATCGGATCGAACTCTGCGTCGCATCGGGCTGCATCGGCACGGAATCGAGCTCGCATCGGGTCGGCTGCGCCAGGATGCACAACAGCGCCATGCAAGCATCGGGCCGCAGCGGATCGTCTGGACATCAGATTCGAATCGGATCGGGCCGGTCTGAATCGATGTCGAATCGGATTAGAATGGAGAATGTAGAATCGAAGGTAGAATCGGCCAGAATGGAACATGTAGAATGGAATGTAGAATCGAATGTCGAATGTAGAATCGGTCGGATCAAAATGGACCCTGCCGTGGAAGGGGGGGGGGTCGGCGGCGGACGCCAGCGGACTGGGGAACCTCATGGGGGGACCCTGGAGTGTCCTGGCCACGACCCGGCGCAACGGGATGCCTCGGAGCTGGCCAACGGCACTGCCTTGGGACGGGCAACAGAAGGCAGGGATGCGCGGCTTCGAGAAGTCACGCATCCTTGCCACAAGCGTCGACTGCATGTGGGCTCCCACCACCAGGTCCGCTGATTTCGCGCTTCGCGGAGAGCTGTTAACTTCTCGGTCTCGCGTCGCCACCCATCCTGTTCCTCCTCCTCCTCCTCCTCCTCCCACCTGCTCCGACTGCTCTCTTCCTTCTCCTCCTCCTCCCCGTCGTCATCATCAGTACCATCATCGCAATCACCATCACCATCATCATCATCATCATCATCATCATCATCATCATCATCATCATCATCATCAGCATCAGCATCAGCATCAGCATCAGCATCATCATCACCATCACCATCACCATCACCATCACCCTCATCATCAGCAGCATCATCATCCTCGTCATCATCATCATCATCATCAGCATCATCATCAGCATCATCATCATCAGCATCAGCATCAGCATCAGCATCATCATCATCATCATCATCATCATCATCATCATCATCATCATCATCATCATCATCATCATCATAATCATCCTTCTCCTCCTCCTCCTCCTCCTCCTCTTCCTCCTCGTTTTCCTCCTCCTCCTCCTTCTCCTCCATCTCCTCCTTCTCCTCCTCCTCCTTCTGGTCCGCCTTTCTCTAGCCCGCAAGCACTGCGTGCAGCGCGTACACTGCAGCCAGGTCTCACACGCTCGGGAAAGAGTGCCTGCAGCGCAAACTTGCGGGCGCCGCTACGATGTTCCATCGCAGATATTCAGGCTTGCACCCGCACTACCGCGAGACGAATATCGTGGTCAGTGTGTCCTCTTCACGAGGTGTCGCGTACTTGTGCTGTGCCGTTACGTTGCCGCCGCCTCCTGATGTCAGCCTCCCGGTCTCATGGCTCAGACGGCAGGCTTGCTGGCACTGGCCGCGAGAGCGCAAGCACGCGAGGCGGCTGCGGCGGCGGCGGCGGTAAGGCCCTCTGTTTCCTCCTCGCGGGCTGCGGGAGCTCAGCCGTAGCGAAGCAACGGCCAGTGTTGCTCACTCACCAGGTCGCAAAGCTGAGCGAAGCCAAATCAGAACGAGCAGGGAGCTCATCGATTGGGTACTGGTGGGCGGCGTTGCCCTCCCAGGCGATCGGCGAGCCGAGGGGTTTCCCCAAGAGCTCACAGCCCAGGGCTGGCGGCTATCTTCATTAACACGTTTGTTTTCGTCCTGCTTGTTCTCGTGTGGCCCTGCAGGTCTTCATCTCGGCCATGTTGTTTGCCCCGTGTGGAGTCTTGCAAGCCGTGCAGGGTTGTCTCTGTCGCATGTTATGGGTATTGTTTGTGGCATCAGGAGGCGTCCTTCCCGAACATCTTGTACGCGGCCTCACGTCACGCATAGCTGTCAACACGCTCGTTTCGGAGTGTGGCCCATGGCCGCGACACCTTGGCACTTCATACATACGCTTCCTCCGCCTGCAGTGCCAGTACATTTCCTGGGCGCTTCTGCTTGACCAATGGAACCCGTGAGTTTAGATTCAAGCCCAGTCACGCTGGGGGCAAACATCCTCAATTTCAGCGCTTCCATCTCACACGTCCGTATGGGGAGGAGGCGGCGTCCATTGTCTGGTGGTGTTTTGCGTGGGTAGGCCAACACATAATTTGTTTTGAGAGAGGGCTGCGGTTGCTACCCCATAAAGCTTGCTGGCCGGATTGCTCAGCACCGGCGGCGTTGCATTCACTCACTCGTTTCAGTTGATGCCAGAATGCAAAGTGCATGGGTTAATGCTTGGTGGGCCCCCTTCCTCTCCCGAGTAACCTGAGCAGCAGCATGGCTGAATCAACATGTCTCGCACGCCTTCCAAAGGACCCGCGCACGTGCAGTACTGGTGGATGGTTTCGCCCTCACTGGTTCTTTGTGGTCTTTGTGGCGCTGTTCGCCCTGGTCCTGTCGGTCCATGTGGTAATCAGAGGGTGTCAACCCCTGTAGCGACGCGCATTCCCATTCCGTCCCCCTCCTCCTCCTCCACCTCCTCCTCCGCCTTCGTCTCCACTGGGCGTTGCGGACAAGCCTTGAGGCACGGGAGACGCGCCCCCGCCGCAAGGGCGTTCGGGACGATGGCACCCCGGACCGCTGATGTCTCGGCGAGGGGGGGAGGGAAACGGCTCCCGATACGCCCAGCCGCCGAATGCCTCCGAGGGCCGTCCACGGCCTCCCAGGGCCGCCAAGGGCCAGCCAGGGACGGCGAGGGCCCGCGGGGGCCGCCAAAAAGGCGTCCGAAGGCCTCCGAAGGCCGGCGAAGGCTTCCGATTGCCGCCGAGGACCAACGAGGGCCGCCGAGGGGCCGCACAAAAAAGCGACGATGGCCTCCATATGCCTGGATGGAGCGACGGTGGGCGGCGGCCGCGCGCACCTAGGCTGCGGTGCACCCCGGAGGACTCCAGGCTGATGTAGCAACCTCCAGACGTGTGGGGGGGGAGGGCTGGCGGTTGTGTTAGGAAGAAGAGAGGGAGCAGGGGAGGTGGAGCCCCTCTGTTTTCCTCATCTTCTAGATCCTCCTCCAATCTCCTTCATCCTCCTCCACCCTCCGTCCCCCCTCTTCCTCCAAGACGGAACCTCCTCCTTATCTTCCTCTTCCTCCTGATCTTGCTCCTCCTCCTCCTCCTCCAACCTCCGTCCTTCTCCTCCTTCTCCTCCTCCTCCTCCTCGTCATCATCATCATCATCATCATCATCATCATCACCATCATCATCAGCATCATCATCATCACCATCACCATCACCATCACCATCACCATCACCATCATCATCATCATCATCATCATCATCATCATCATCATCATCATCATCATCATCATCATCATCATCATCATCATCATCAGCATCAGCATCAGCATCAGCATCATCATCATGATCTTCCTCTTCCTCCAACCTCCTCCGACCTCCTCCTCCCTCCGTCCTCCGTCTTCCTCCTCCACCACGGACACTGCACCTCATCTTCCTCCTCCTCCTCATCTTCCTCATCCTCCAACCTCTGTCCTCCTTCTCTCCGCCTCATCTTCCTCCCCCTCCTCCTCCTTCAACCTCCTCCACCCTTTCCACCCTCCGTCCTCCTCCTCCACCAGGGACCCTCCTCCTCCTCCTCATCTTCCTCCCAATCCTCATCTTCCTTCTCCACCTCCTACAACCTCCGTCCTCCGTCCTCCTCATCAACATCTTCCTCCTCCTCCGCCTCCACCAATCTCCTCTACCTCCTCCACCCTCCGTCCTTCGTCCTCCTCCTCCACCACGGATCATCCTCCTCCTCATCGTCCTCCTCCTCCTCATCTTCCTCCTCCTGCTCCAACCTCCGTCCTCCGTCCTCCTCATCATCATCTCCCTCTGCTCCAACCTCCTCCACCCTCTTCCAACCTCCGTCCTCCTCCCACCACGGAAACTCCTCATCTTCCTTCTCCTCCTCCTTCTCTTCCTCATCCTCATCCTCCTCCGCCCTCCGCGCATCTCATTCCTTCTCCTCCAACCTCCTCCACCCTCCTCCCCCCTCTACCCTCCGTCCTCCTCCTCCTCCACCAGGAAAGCTCCTCCTCATCTTTCTCTTCCTCATCTTCCTCTTCCTCCTCCTCCTCCTCCAACCTCCGTCCTCCGTGCACCTCTTCCTCCTCATCTTCCTCCTCCTCCTCCTCTTCCAACCTCCTCCACCCTCCTCCTCCTCCTCCTCCTCCATCCTCCGTCCTACTCCTCCACCACAGAACCTCCTCCTCATCTTCCTTCCTCCTTCTCCTCCTTCATCCTCCTCCTCCTACTCCTCATGCAACCTCTTCTACCCTCCATCCACCGTCCTCCTCCTCCTCCTCCTCCTCCACAGAACCATCGGGGCGCATATCCACGCGTGCATGCACACGGGCCTGGAAGAACATCCCAGTCTTCGGCAGGATGTAAGTGGCGGCGCAGATCCACATAGGGTGCTCGCTCTTGATTGTGCGTGCTCTGTCCCCCTTCGATGGCAGCTCATGGGAGCCTCCCATACCATCTTGTCGGCTCCTGCGAATCGACGCTGACCGACGCTAATCGACGCTAACTGAAGCTATCTCATCGACTCCAGACGCTAATCGACGCTAATCGACGCTAAAGGCGGAGATAAGAGGTTATACCAGGCTCCCATGATTTGCCACCGAATCCAGTCCTTTCCCAGTCCTTTTCTCGACTACCAGACCCCAAACCAAGCCATCCAGACAGGCATGACTGTCAACATGAGCGCACACGCAAGGGACAGGCCTCCAACACATGCGCAGTCACTACGGCAAGGTCGTGGGCCACCAGCTTGGCATGCCAGGACAATTACAGGAGGCAGAAACTATCCACAGCATGACACACAGGCTTGGGCACAGACCGAGCTTCACACTGCAACGACACGCGCGGGGGGGGCCATGCGAGACGGAGGCCCACTGCGGGTTCGCCGCGGCTGTGTCCACGCAGGCCTCCGGCGCCGCGCCGGCGCGGCAGCGGCAGCGGCCCCCTCGGCTCGGCTCGCTCGGGCGGACGGGCTGAGCCGAGGCGGCGGCGACGCTGGCGACGGCGGCTTCGGCGCCTGCGGCGGCGGCAGCGGCGGCGGCGACGAAACCCGCCTTTCCTCTGCGTTCCTCCGACCCCTACTCACGCCTCGTCCTCGCTCCTCGCTCCTGCCCTCCCTCCCTCCCTCCCTCCCTCCCTCCCTCCTTGCTGCAATCGATATGTAGCACCCACGGCGACATATTACGGATCCCATCGCCGAGGCTCCGCCCACGCGGAACGGACCCGCCCCGCCTAAACAACGCGTAGCAGCAGCAAGCCGCGACTGCTGCGCGGCTCCACCCGCCGCCAGTCGTGCGTGGCTTCATGTTGAATCGGGCTTGTCCCCCTACAGGCGGTTTTTTGAGCGAGAATTTGTTCTGCCCCCCAAACAACCCAAAATACTTAAAATTGCTTATAAAGAATAATCCAGAGTAGCCAAAAAAGTCAACAAGTCGTCCCCATACGATTCTTTTGACTATTTTCAATATCCCTCCTGTAGAGGGACAGGCCGACTTAAGCTTAATGGGCGGCAGTAAAAGAAGGGACAAAGAAAGGTGCACCCTTCGGGCCCCTGTCGAGACCCCCCCCTTTTCATCTAGAGACCTCGCAGATGGGGTCAGAGTAGATGGAGTCGGAGGATCGCGCTACATCGTCGATACATCACCGATGCATCGCCGACGTCGGCGTAGAGAAAATCGGGCTCCACATCCAGCCTCATCGCCGATGCTTCGGCCGACCCCATCTACTCAGACCACATTTGGGAGGCCTGGATCGACGCCCCCCACATCGGAGGCGACGATAGGGGGAGCATAGCCCAGGGGGGGAGCAATACATGTATCCGGGGGCGCCGATGGTCCATGCCTTCGGCGAAACTCTCGGCGAATACGTGTAATGCCCGCCCCTGCGCCATTCTCCCCTATCGTCGCCTCCGACCCCATCACTTTGGACGCCCGATATGGGTACGGACAAACATGGGCACGCGACCTTCTGTCTAGAATGGACAGCGTACGCAGCGAGGCCGACAACGCTTCCTGCTCAAGACGGACAGGATTTGCTGTTAGCCCTCGTACTTATTCTCTCCATGCCCATTTCTGGAAGAAGGAGAAGAAGAAAAAGAAGACAACGAAAAATAATAATAACAAAGCCATAAACACATCGTTGTGGCGCTCCGCGCGGATTTCTTGGATCTGTACTGGGCCCCCCTTCCTGGCGCGCGGAGCGCGCCAGGGGCGGCGCTGGAGGCGCAGCCGGGGGGGCCCAGCGCCCATCCAAGAAATCCAAGGGGAACGCCACAAGTTATGCTTACGGCGTTTCTTTGCGTTTCTTGTTATTATTATTCTTATTCTTCTTCCTCTTATTATTATTACTATTATTATTACGAATATTAGCTTAATTCTTAGTAATATCAGTGTGATTCCTAATGAGGTTATCCTTAGTATTGCTACTATTACTACTACTATTATTAATACTATTAGTATTCGTCTTCTTCTACTTATTCTTCTTCGTCTTCTCATTCCCCACCTAGGCTCTGCCTAGGGGGTTTTTACTTTGTTTGCTTAAAGGGGCCCAGCAGTGTAGGCCGCCCCGGGCGGTTCCCCCAGTCCCCGCCCCGCGGTTCCCCCAGTTGCGCCCCCTAGCTTAGCTTTAGCTTTAGCTTTAGCTTTAGCTTTAGCTTAGCTTTCGCTTAGCTTAGCTTTAGCTTAGCTTTAGCTTTAGCTTAGCTTTAGGCTTAGGCTTAGCTTAGCTTTAGCTTAGCTGTAGCTTAGCTGTAGCTTAGCCTTAGCTTAGATTTAGCTTAGCTTTAGCTTAGCTTTGGCTTAGCTTTACCGATACTACTAATGCTGCTTTCCCAGGGGCTCCAACTCCTAGGTAGGGTCGCACTGGGATGATTATTATTTCGTTTCTTCTTCGGATATCGAATTTCGATGCTCCAGGACATTAGAGCGCCCGCAGGCGGAGCCAGCGCCTGGTTCTCCGGGTCCTCCTGCTGCTGCCGCCGGAAGAACTGCCTCGTTGCCTCGTCCATGGGGCGCCTCGGCGAGACGCCGCCGGCCGGGGCGCGGACGTCTTGCGGCGCCCTCGGGAGTTCGGCGGGAGGTGGCGCGGGTCCCCGGGGAGGGAAGGAGTTCAGTCCTAAAAATGGATTCGCAACCTCGCAGTCCTCACAGCCTCCGGGGAGGGCGAAGGGATAGGAAAAGGAGGCGGAGCAGGAGGCAGAGGAAAAGGGGGAGGGGGAGGATGAGGAGGAGGAGGAGGAGGAGGAGGAGCAGCAGAAGAAAAAGCAGGAACAAGGGGGAGGAAATGGGCCACAGCTGGTTTCGCCAACCCTTGGTTTCACCCAGTTGGTTTCGCCCGGCTGGTTTCGCCGCCCGGCGAAACCAACCCAACTGCCGTCTGCGAAACCAACTTCCGTCGGCGAAACCAGCCGCCCTCGGCGAAACCAGCCGCCGTCAGCGAAACTAGCTGCCGTCGGCGAAACCAACCGTCGGCGAAACTGCCCGATCCGACCCGCCCGCTAGGGTCCGCCCGCCCGATCCGACCCGCCCGTTAGAATTCGCGCGTGCTCGGTCGATCAGGCCCCACACTTTGATGTCCCGCCCGCCCGACCCGACCCGCCCGTTAAGGTCCGCCCGCCCCGACCCGACCCACCCGCCAGGGTCCGCCCGCCCGACCCGACCGCGCGTGCTCGGTCGAGCGGGCCCCACACTTTTAATGTCCCGCCCGCCCGACCCGACCCGCCCGTCAGGGTCACCCCGCCCGCCCCCGACCCTACCCGACCGCTAGGGTCCCCCGCCCGACCCGACCCGCCCGTTTAGGGTGGGTCCCGCCCGAACCCCGACCCGACCGCCCGTTAAGGCCGCCCGTTAAGTTCCGCCCGCCCGACAACAGCCCGCCCGCTTCGGGTCCGACGCACGCCGCTCGACGGCGACGGACGACGACGACGACGACGACGACGACGCCGACGGCGACGGCGACGACGGCAAAACCAGCGCCAGCGAAACCAGCGCAGGCGAAACGAGCCGCCGGCGAAACCAGCGGTGCGAAATCAGCGGGGCGAAACCAGCGCCGCCTTAGCAAGCGCCGGCGGAACCAGCCGTCGGCGAAATCAGCGGGGCGAAACCAGCGCCAGCGAAACCAGCGCCGGCGAAACTAGCTCATGCCGAGGAGGAGGAGGAGGAGGAAAAGGAGGAAAAGGAGGAGGGAGGAGAAGGAGGAGGAGGAGGCGGAGGAGGAGGAGCAGGAGGATGAAGAGGAGGAGGAGGAAGAGAGGGAGGAGGAGGAGTGGGTCCCAGAAGGAGAGGGGCTTGTGCTGGGCTCAGGGGCACTCCGCGGGCCTCGGGGCGGTCGGGAGACGGCTCAAGACGAGGCCTGGCCCTGCGGCAAGCCCCCGGGTCCGGGGCCCCCGTCCCCAAGGATCCCCTGTCGCTCGTGTCGGCCACGGGCCCTCCTAACCAGCCTCGAACGTATCCCCCCTATCCCTGAGATCGGCAAGCCCAAGGCGATGACAATCTTAGGGACATTCCCTTAGAAACCGCGGGAATCCTTAAGATCGTCACCAAGGTAGGGTGATGCCATAGAGATAGGGATGTGTTTCAAGTTGGTAACCTCCATGCACGTCCTGAGGAGCATGTAGGATCGACAAAAAGAAACGTGCCTCACGCGAGATGCCACAGTGACCGGAGGCGGCGGCCTTTCTCGCGTGCCGCCAGCGGGCACGCTCAGGTGTTGGAGCCCTCTCTCTGGACGGGTGCATCACGTCTTCGGCGACGGCGCTACGCCAATTTGGGCAAGGCATGGTTGATCACTTGCTTGCGCCACCTGCTCTCGTCTCTGCGAACCAAGGGGATGCCTCGGGCTTGCTTTCGCGGGTTCACGCGTTTCTGGCTTCTTGGGACAGGGTGCCCCCCCTTCAAAGTCCTTGGCATTCCCAGTTCCGCAAGCTTCAGGATGCGGTGACGCAAGCAGTAGGAGACTGCTGCAGCAAGTGCACGACGATTGCACAGCAGGACTGGAGGTCCTGAAGCAAACACATCCGATCCTACATGGCCTAGCTGCTCGGAATCCTTCCTGCACTTTGTCGGCTGAGGGGGCGTTGTCTCCGATCCACTTTCGATGTTGCAGCATGCACTGGGAGCCCGACCACAAGAACCCTTCCACAAAGAAACCCAACCCTGAGACCCCAGGACGCCCGTTGACTTCTGGTGTGGGAACGTCACGCTCTCCAGACCATCCGCACCCGAGAGAGCCCCCGCGCACCCCGGAGGCGAGCAGGGTGCTTCACGGCGTGGGTCTCCACTGCGAGAGGGGGCACTGAGCTTTCGGCCGATCGGCAGCACGAGCGGGCGCCTCAAGAGGCTCGGCGCGTCCCCCCCGCTCCGCTCCCCCCTCTTGGACCCTGCTGCGATCGGGGACCTGGCTGGGCTCGGCGGCGAGCGAGGGGGGGGGGGGAAACGAGAAGGCGCAGGCCTTTTCAGAAGGTTCGGACGTCCCCCGGCCTCATGAGAAGTGTTCTGAGCCTTCCCCGAAGACACCGAAAACTTCTGAGCGCTTCTGACAAGTCCCGCCGTCTTCTGAGAAGGCCTTCTTCACGAGGAGATCGGCGCGGTGGCCGTCGACGGCTGTCACCTGCGCCACGACACCCCTGCACGACGACAGCCTGCGGGTGGGCACCCTTGGGAAGGTTGCCCATCCTTACGGTGCGGGTCGACTGATGGGCCGATGTTCCACCACCACTACCATAGGTAGCAGACGGAGGAGGAGGAGGAGGAGGAGGAGGAGGAGGAGGAGGACCTCCCCGGCCTCCATTCTCCCCCGTCCTACGTATGGTAGTGGTGGTGGAAAATTGTCCCCTCGTTGACTGTGCTCCATCCCTGCTGGCCTCAGGTCGGGCGTGTCCCCCTACAGGCAAATTCGGAGGAAAAAAAAGCAAACAGCGGAATAATACTCAAAACATATTCGAAAAAACAACACACTACACAAATCGTCCCTGGACATGATTCTCCTATTCTTGAATTCTCCCCCTGTAGAGGGACAGGCCCGCCTTATTGCTGGCCCCAAAGCCGGCCCCGAAGCCACGGCGGCCGCGGCGCCGGCCGCGCGGCGCGCCTGCCCCCCGCGGCGCGCGCCCGCGCGAGGCGCCCGCGCGAGGCGCCCGCGCGAGGCGCCCGCCCCGCGTCCGCACGCCCCACCTTGGCCTGCCGAAGGAGGCGGGGGCCCGGCGAGCTGGCGATCGCGCGGGACGAGGAGGAGGAGGAGGAGGAGGAGGCGGAGGAGGAGGAGGAGGAGGAGGAGCTGGCGAGCTGGCGAGGGCCTGTCGGAGGAGCGCGGGCGCGCGCGCGCGCGAGGCCGGGCTGTCTCGGAGCCCGTCGAGCGGGGCGCGGCCAGCAGAAGTCGCTGAGGATGGGGCGAAGGGGCAGGCATGCAAGGATACCCCTGGGAATGTCGCCCATCCTTTTCATGCGGGTCTCGACTGTGGAGGCGCTGGGGCCCCGGACCCCGTACGGTAGGTTCGCGCGGCGTCGGCGAGCGCGAGGGTTGTTGACGCCGACGCGATCGTCCAACCTTGAACCGATCGTGGCCCCGATGGTTCAAAGTTGAATCCCGTCGGGTCTTGTGGCGTTACCGTGTCCTCGGTGCGTCCGCGTCACTCTTTCGTGCGGAACTCAACCTTGAACGCTTTCGCCAGCGTCGCTGGCGCGCCATCGCCACACGAATCTACCGTAGCCAGGGCTAGCGAGGTGCCTGGGGCCTCGTTGCGAGTGGATTTCTCGGAGCTGAGGGGATCCAGGGAAAGACTTCCTCCAGGGGGCGGCGTTGTGGTCCTCGTCGTCGTCGTCGTCGTCGACGCCTACGTCGTCGTCGTCGTCGCCTACGTTGTTGTCGTCGTCGTCGTCGTCGTCGTCGTCGTCGTCGTCGTCGTCGTCGTCGTCGTCGTCGTCGTCGTCGTCGTCTTCGTCGGGCATTCGAGGTTCGAGGATCGACGATGCCGGGATCGTCGTCCACCTGGGGGAGCGTCTTCTGTCCTCCGAGGGGCGCCTCTGGGGCACCTGTGGCAGAGTTGGGGCCATGCTTGGGCACAGGACCTGGAGCCGTTCTGGAAGACTCTCTGGCCGTGGGCGTCTTGGGCCCCCCGTTGGGGCTCTCTTGGGTTGGCCTCTTGGGGCATCTTTGAGCGATGTTGGAATCTCCTCCTGCTCCTCCTCCTCCTCCTCCTGCTCCCGCTCCTCCTCCTCCTTCACCTCCTCCTCCTCCTCCTCTTGCTCCTGCTGCTCCTCCTCCTCCGCCCTCCGTCCGGCTCCTCCTCCTCCTCCTCCTCCTCCTCCTCCTCCTCCTCCTGCTCCTCCTCCTCGTCCTCCTCGTCCTCCTCCTCCTCCTGCTCCTGCTCCTGCTCCTGCTCCTCTCCCTCCTCCTCCTCCTCCTCCTCCTCCTCCTCCTCCGCCTCCTCCTACTCCTCCCCTCCCCCTCCTACTTTCCCCTCCTCCTCCTCCTCCTCTTCCTCCTCCTCCTCCTCCTCCTCCTCCTACTCCTGCCTCCTCCTCCTCCTCCTCCTCCTCTCCTCCTCCTCCTCCTCCTCCTCCTCCTCCTCCTCCCCTCCCCCTCCTACTTCCCTCCTCCTCCTCCTCTTCCTCCTCCTCCTCCTCCTCCTCCTACTCCTCCTCCTCCTCCTCCTCTCCTCCTCCTCCTCCTCCTTCCTCCTCCTCCCTCCTCCTATTCCTCCTCCGCCTCCTCCCCTCCTCCTCCTCCTCCTCCTCCGTCCTCCTCCTCCTCCTCCTACTACTCCTCCTCCTCCTCCTCCTCCTCCCTGTTAGAAGGCCCCTGAGGCTGCCCTGGGGCTGTCCTCTGCCGTCTTCGGGAGCTGCGCGCGTCCTAAAGAACTCTTGGGGGTGTCTGCGGGCCTCCTTCGGGCTCCCCTGGAGGTTTGCAAGGGCCCTCCTGGACCGTCCTGGGCGGTCGTAGGGGACCCTCTTGGGCAGTCTTCGGGTTCTCTTGGGACGGTTTGGGCGGCGTCTGCGGTGTCTGGGGGCCTACTTGG